CCCAAGGCGCTCCCAGGCCAGCCGAGAAACATAGTCCCTCTAGCGTGTCCTGGGTCTCTTCCTGGTGGGACGCCAGGGAGGCGTCCAGGAGGCATCCTAATCAGATGCTTGAGCCACCTCAACTGGCTCCTCTCGATGTGGAGGAGCAGCGGCTCTAATCTGAGTCCTCCCCGGATAACTAAGCTCCTCACCCTATAGAGCTTAGAGCTACGGAGAAAACTCATTTCAGCCGCTTGTATCCGGGATCTCATTCCTTCGGTCATGACCCAAAGCTCATGACCATAGATGAGGGTAGGAACGTAGATCGACAGGTGAATCGACAGCTTTGCTTTTAGTCTTCCAATCCTTTTCATACAACACCTGTGTTAGCTGCTTCCCCACAAACATGGCTGAATGTGCTGTTTCCTTGTGCTGAGCCGCTCGGCCTCCTGTTTCTGATTGAGTATGGATCTGCTGCCCTGTGTTCACTGACTCTTCTAAAGATAGACCCATGTCCCTGTTTCAGCCGACCTGAGACTGAAGTTAAAAACGGTCCTAATGACTCACGCAGGTCTGTGTTCTCCGTGCTGTTTCCCTCCAGCATATCAGGTTGTTCGTATTGTTTTTGCAGCTCGCCGCTGAGCTGAAGCTGAAACTATAATGACGTTGGTTCTTTTCTGCTTTTCCAAATCAGCATCACCTCTTTGACTGAGATTTTTATCTGTAGCCTTGGGGAAGTTCTGCGTATTTACTCTGGAGCTCCATAAGCCATTCATTTTCGCTGACCAGCAGAGAGGCTTTTATGAAATGTTAACAAAACACACGATCGGTTACTCAGATGTTTTTAAATCTGTGAACGCCGTTCCTGTTCCTCTCTTTGTTGTATAAGTGGCGTTATTCTTTCTTTTCTTTTTTATTTTCCAGCAGTCCTGTGAACTTAACGCCACAAACTGTCTTCCATTGTTATTCTTCCCAGTACGATGAGCTGGTGCCCGCGTCTCTGACCACAAAGCTCGGGGGATTTTACATCAACACGGGCACGTTGCAGTTCAGAGCGGCCTCTGACTCAGAGGGAGAGGAGGACAAGGTGAGACAACTAAAACACACGCTAAACTCCACATAAAGAATTCAAAACAATGGCTTAGAAACCCCCTCTTTGTTTATTGGAAAGGCATGTGAGCGGAGAATAAAAGCAGGGTGAAAAGAAAGAAAGGACACCCTGTTTTAATCGTAGGGTTTGAACCTAGCCTAAGTCCTCTGATTGTAGAGTCACACTGCAGCCTGCAGTGAACCAAATTCGATTTTTATTTTTTATTTTTGCCTATATGCGACCATTGTCTGATCTGTTCATGGCAGTCTGAACAACTCTGATCGGATTTTTTCCAATGCGATCCAAGCCACTTGGCTCTGTGGTCCTGAATCCGATGCGTTTCTGCTTTTTTCAAATGCGAACTGTCTGAACGGCCAGGTCGTGTTCATCCGACCTGAACGCCATTAAAGTCGTACGGAAGCGGCTGTTTCAACCGTTGCAGTTCCGAATCCTCCCGTGTGGTGCCCGACTTTACTAACCTGACTCCGCCAGATGGATTTGCTCCTCATATCCATCTGGAAACCTTCCGTTGAAGTAATTTTGGGAAGGGGCGAAAATACTGGTTAGCTGATTGGCCTATGTTGGTGATAGACGGGCCAAATAAACCAATCAGATCAACGAAGCATATGACGTACTAACAGAGCGACGACGAAGAGGAGCCAATTGAGAGATCAAACTCTTGCCGACACC